CACTGCAGATTGAGGGAGTAGGTTTCAGCACTGGAACAAGGCTCTGTCCAAGTGTTTGCATACAGTTGAGTCCTGCTGTGCAGCTTAAGCTATATGCAAATCCATCCATCCTGAAGCAGCTTATAAGAGACAGTGCAAGTTCAAGTGATGTAGAGAAGAGACACTAAAAGAAAGTTGCAGCTCTTTTGGATCTAGAAGATCAGGGGCTGTCTCTACACTGGCATGAATTTCCGGAAATGCTTAAAACAGAATAGTTTTCGTTATAAGTATTTCCGGAAAAGAAGCGTCTACATTGGCAGGCTGCTTTTCCGGAAAAGTCCTTTTTCCGGAAAAGCATCTGTGGCCAATGTAGACGCGCTTTACCGGAAAAGAGCCCCGATCATCATTTACGCGATCGGGACTTTTTTCCGGAAAAGACTACTGGGCTGTCTACACTGGCCCTTTTCCGGAACAGTGTTCCGGAATAAGGACTTATGCCCGAGTGAGAGCAGAATAGTTTTTACGGAATAGCGGCTGATTTTGTACAGTAGAGCATCGTAGCTTTTCCGGAAATTCAAGGGCCAGTGTAGACAGCTCGCAGCTTATTCCGGAAAAGCGGCTGATTTTCCGGAATAAGTGGCCCAGTGTGTAGACAGCCTGGGTGTTTGTGTATGTAAAGATTAGAACCAAAGAACTGCAAGAGTTCTGGACTCTTCAGGTACATCTACATCGCAACACTATTTTAGGATACCACAGTATCCTGAAATAGCTATCCCGTGTCTTAACAGCAAGCCCGTTATTTTGGGCTCACTATTCCAACGTCCCTGTAAACCTCATTCTATGAGGAGTAAGAGACATTTCAGAATAGCGCTTTATTTCTAAGTTTGGCGCTGTGAGGGGGGAATGGCTCAATCAGAGCTAGAGACAATATTGCTTGTTTCGTGGCAAGTCAGCTCTCATCTGTTAATAAGTATAATTATATATCCAAGAGCTTGGAATGTCTGTCCAAAACAACAGGGAAAGCCCAGCTATTGTACTGTTCAGACCACAGAGTCAACTGAGAGCTAGATATAGTACTAGGAGACAGCAGTTAATTAAGCTGGAGTGGTTAGAAGATTCCATAGCAATAGGGTTTTTATTTTATTGGGATTATGGCTGTGAGTGAGGTATCTATATTCTTATATAGCTCTTATAAACTAGGCTAAATGCTGTACCATGATATTTAAACTTGAAATGAGATTTAAGAATGTCCTGCTATATAAGTCAGTCACATATCTTGTAACATACCATTACACAAAAAACTTTCCATGACTGTCTTCAAACTTCATTGCAACAATGGCTTGCAAAACCAGATCATATATGCCTGCCATGAAGAATAGGCTAGATGTGTCGCTCCTGCAGCAAATGAAGTCAAGAGGTTGAACCAAGGATGCACATTTGGTCTATTATTTAAAGTCTTAAAGACAGTTCCCTCCTTCCCTCAACATTAGGTTTTACATTAGTGGCCTTAAATACTTACTGCATATTTAGTGCAACTACAGTATTTGGGCAAGAACTCAGTAGCCATGTGTACTGTATCAAAGGAGTTTTGTATCACTTTCTTTGCCCTATTTCTTAAGTCCCTTTTCTACCCTATGCCTCATCCCTCCCGCCACACTGGATTCCAGCACTGTGCCCACTCCAGTTGTCTTTTTCTTTCTGTTTCCCTTTCCAGTCCCTGACAAATAGTCAGTTTAATGCCTGATGGTAGTTTCCATGGCACACTGGCTACAATTTCAATTTGAGGGTACTGTCAGCTTTGAAGTAAAGATCTTACATCATCCCTAGAGAGTTGTGAACAGGAATGACCACATGCTGAACATCTGTCTTCCTGGGGTTCCCTATAAACATCCTAGAAAAATCTAAATCCCAGGTGATTTTTTTTCTAAAGAGATTCAGAAAGCCATTTTAAGGGCAGCGGGTTTGCTGTTACATTGTCAATTGAAAAATAAATTAGATGAAGGAATCAAACTTGTGCTAAAATCAGTTCCAGCAAGACAGCTTGGGAAGAGTCAGAGTAGCATTGAATGGGCTGGTGTAAAAAAGACATTGTGCCTCTTTCCTAAACAAAGTAGAATGATCACGTGGGCAAGAAGTGGACATCACATGTCATGGAGAGGGACTAAGTGCTGACCACAGATTAAATCCCAGGATTTGCAACAGTCTGCAGTTGAGAGAGCTGCTGCAGGTTGGCTCAAAATTTGGCTTCACTGGGCAAACTCTGTCTTTAAGTCAAGAGAGGTGCAGCCCTCACTGTACTCTGGCTCTTGGTAAATAGCTAATATTCAAACATAAAGCTTAGCAAGGTACTAAGGAGACAGCACTCACTGCTACAGCCAAGTATACTCCTCTCTTTTCAGCGTAAGGAAACTTGTAGCTTTGCATGGTGGAATAGATTCAGACAGGTGATCCAAAGCAAACACACCACTTCTTGAGATAGAACAAAATTCAGGGACCTTTGTTGCAATCTGTACAAAAACTAATTTTGAAATCAGGAACTGCTAAACTGCGCTGAGAGAAAGCAGAGGAAAGACACAGTTCTCATGGCTTTGTCAATCCAGCTGCCAAAGGGAAACACTAAAAAAGTCTTGAAATATTTCCATATCAAATTCCACGAGAAGTTTCTTGTATGTTTGGATAGAAAACACAAGGCTGATGTTCACCCTCCAGCTACATACAGCCAAAGGAGCCTTCATAATTTATTCAAATGAACTGAGCAATGAGGCAAGCACTCTTAAGGAACTATGGCTATGGCTATACTACGGGGTTTTTCCAGGATACCAGAGGTAAACCACTGCATCCAGGGAATGTGTCTGCTCTTCCGCTTTTTTTTGTGTGGAAGAGCAGATGCTATTTTGGAAGCCATGTCTTCCTCCTCCATGAGGAAGAAGGGCTCTTCTGAAAGAGGAGACTTTTCTGAAATTTGGCCTGAGCCTCATCCGAAAAAGCTATCGGAAAAAGGTACGCAAATTGCAGAGCGCAAGTTGCATACCTTTTTCTGATATATCCCTGTAGTGAGACATAGCCTATGTGAAGCTTGCAGTTTTTGCCTCAATAGCTTTCTAATAATTTAAGTACAGACTAGTTTGCTGGTCACCATGTGTCCGAATTAACATGATCAAGAAAGCCAGCTTCTCTGCCTGCTTCCTACACCATGGAAAGCTCCAATTCAGTGGGATCTTTGAGTCAGATGCATCGGCTGGCAGTCCATCTCAATTCTCACATCATTATGAGATTGAGATGGAGTTTGTAAAGAAAAAAACAGAATGGTAGGTTTAGGGAAGGGAAACATTTAGGCATCTTATAGATGTAAGAATCAGAAAAAGCAAGTGGCAAGACTATACAGATCTCAATAAAATAAATAAATAACACTATAGTCTTCTACATAGAGAACCTGCAGCATTAAAAAACCCACTAGCCTCTACGGAGGGGGGCGGAGGCGGGGAAAACTATGTCTCTCTATATCCCACTATGGGATTGAAAGCTTGAGAACAGTGTTGGATGCCAGCCCCATTTAAGGGAGGATTCTTCCAATACATTTTAGAAGAGATGATGGGATGTTCCCCTGCCCTTTAAAACTGAGACTTTTGTGGGGGGGGCGGGAATCGTTCATGATGATTTTCACCACATGATGCTCAGTCATCATTTGATGTCTCATGCAACAACCAGAGAACAGGAGATGACAAATGTCTTTGAGCAAATTAATTTTTGTCCAACCCTGCATAGTCAAAAAGAGGGGGCAGGAAGGAGGAGCAGGACTATGACAGGCTGGCAGAATCATTTATGATGTTTCTTAAAGCTAGTGGACTATACGGTAGGAATGTAAGCGACTAGTCGACTAGTCCTTCTAGGGGAGCAGGAGCCGGTGCCAGGGGGAGTCCCAGACGGGCTCTTAATACATTAAAAAGGCTAAAACACAGCAGGGGAACCTGGCACGAGCTGGGAATCAGCTGGCCCGGCTCACACTCGGTCCCCCCAGCTTTTAAATGTATTAAAGAGTGGGGCCAGGAGCTAACCTCGCTGTGGCTCCCCTGCTCATTGACTAATCGGCTAATTGATTGATTAGTTAATTAACCTATATTTAGCATACCTAATACACAGTTATAATTCTGTGCTACCCCTTTAGGTGTAAAATGTCTGCGTGTGGCAGGATTGTATTTGAATCTGAGATAGAGGTTCTTAGAAAGCAGGCAGATTCTCAAGACAATTATATTCTCTGTCATTTACTGCTACACAACTGAACCTTTAAAAAAAAAGTCAAGTCCACATTTTGCTCTGTGTGCATGAAAATTTCATCTGTTTCCTCCTTTAAGTGTTAGGGGGTCTTTCACTGGAATTTTAGACTGCTGAAGAGGTAAATGGAAAACCTTTTTGAACAAAAGCTATTTTTAGAAGAGAAAAACCCTGTGATAGCACCATTTTTGCAGTGAAGTGTTGATTACTGTAATTAACTTTACATGGATCCTATTATTTATGTTAATTCTGGTAATGGTGGATCTAGAGTCATTGGAGAGGATTTGGAGTTCTTTCATAACTCTTAATGAATTATTTCTAAACTAAGGCTTGCATTCAGTTCTA